TGGGTAAATCTTCAAAGGGAACAGTGTACTTTATAACCTCATTCACCTCAAATTTGTTTCATTTAGATATTATGATTAACAGACACCAAACAGCCTTGTGCAGCTATATATTTATATGAGCATCATCTTCACTCTGCATATTTAAAACAAAACAGGGCTTAAATATAACTGTCTCCTTTCATTTTCTTTGAAAAGAACAAACTTTACCCCGTCTCTTTTGCAGAATATCAGTTTTAGTAATCAATAATGGCCATTATAACAGTATAACGTACAATAAATTTATATGATAAAGGTAAGCAAGTCAATGTGCAGAATCAGTGTACGTGGTTACATAAATTAATATATTAGCTTATCTTTGCACTCAGCCAAAACAACAAGATGAATTCAATATCACGTTTAACAACTATAGTGAGATCAGATCCAGCAGATGAACTGTCTGACATGCACTATACTCTCACCTGGGGTTTATGCTCACCCGCCAGCTCTTGTCAGAGAGTGTGTGGTCACGTGATTTGCGTTTTTAGCCGTGTACTAGAATGAAAGGAGAACTTCTCAGAACCGCTAAATGAAACGGCGGTGTATTTCCCGCGATTTCTCTGCGCCTCCCTTGCGTTTCTTCTCTCTGACTCTCGACTATTTTGACAAATACACACAGACGACGCACGCTCACACAGAGCCCAAAATAGGAGTTTGTGATTGGGCCAGCCCAATGTCAATAAAGAAAAGAGCCAATGGGCTGCAGTGTCACATGAGCCGGCCCGGTCTGTCTGTCCGGGAAAAAAGCATCTACTTTCAGAGAGTCACAGATCACAGGAGCGTCAATTAATAAGGCAGAAAAAAGCGATAGGCTGCTAAGCCTTTTATGGGCCGATCAGATCATAAGACGATGATCAGCCCGGCCCAAAAAGTACGTCGGCCCGACGGGAAAGTCCGCCAGTTGGCCAGTCCGCCCCTGCATGTCTGACGTGTTCCAAACACAGTGAATTATGTTTGATCAAACAAAAGAATAGTGAAATATGAAAACAATGATCGGTCCCTGTGGCTTTACAGCACCTCTCATCAGTTGGAATACAATAACTTTTGCATAGTTTATGGTTGAGACATTTTTCTTTTTTCCTATGATTAAAAACATGTGCAGGAACCACCAAAATGTATTACAGCATGCTAGACCACACAGAAAAAGGTATACTTTCAAATTTGAGTTGATAAAAAAATACAAAAAGCTTTTTTTGGTGTTTATTATAACACAGACAACATATACACTTATTTTAAACACTTTCAATAGTGTTTTATGAAAATTTAAAGGGTTATCTTTAAAATGGGGTATATGCCGAAGCATGCTAATAGGACTTTTATTTTGCCATTAAACTGGGTTAAGCGCTTCCGGCGAATTGATTGCCGATGCAAAATCCGGTGCGTTTAAGGTCTGTTTTCTTTAAAAATCTCCACTAGCTGAGTGATATCCGATTTAAAGTGGGTCTCAGATTGTACAAGAAGCACTGCATTAAATTACATCTCCCCCGCCATATCTTTATTATATGAGCATTTATTTTACCCCAGTATATTCAATGGAGCTTCTGCGTTAGCCTGCCGATTCTGACAGACGCGTGCGAGTAAACAGCTTTTTGTCTCGTTTTACGCTTGATTAACTAAATAAATGCTTAAGTTTATTTAACTGAATATATTTTAATGACATTACAACATCGATGCTGTATAAGGAACCGTATAAAATGAGAAAATGGTCACAATAACAGGTCACCGGAAGTGTATCAGCATGGGAACAGCACTAGCTCGGCATATACCCTATGATACCAAATTTTTGCATTTACACCTCTGCATGTGGATTTGGGAAGCTTTTAAATTTGGGTAGGCAAAATCCTGGCAGAAATCCCAAAATAGCACAGGAGTTTAAGAGGTAAGTTGTGTTGCGTTGTGTTGTGTTGTCCTCAAAGTCCTCTATGGTTGGCATCATCTCTTCGTATTAGCTTAGCTGGTGTTCATAGTTTATTTGAACAAGAGATATTAAATATCAATGCAAAAATCAAGTGCTATAAATAAAACTAGCATAGAAACAAACATGTAAAGCATATAAGTATTTCTAATGAAATGGCTAGTGCATTAATACAGCAGTGTATCCTACAGGGGGCTTGTCAAGCCCACTCACCTGCATGTAGTACACTCATGCATCATTCCAATACGTGATACATTGTGTGTATGCTTTACTTAAAAGATAGGTCTTTAATCTAGTTTTGAACTGAGAGATTGTGTCTGAGCCTCGAATATTATTAGGAAAGCTATTCCAGAGTTTAGGAGCCATACATGAGAAGGCTCAACCTCCTTTAGTAGACTTTTGCTATTCTGGGTAAGGGAAAGCGGGACATAAAGTAACACTTTATGGTTTTGGCCAAATAATGAACAAATGAATGGGGTTAGACAAACCATTGGTTTTTTACCAACAACACACAAGTTGTAACAAACAGAGGGTTAGTTGTAACACACGCTTGAAAAGCCAGATTTCACACAATTAGTTTAAATCCAGTTTACTTTAAATAGTAGCTACATTTCCTCACTACTTAACTAATTTATTTTTTATTCTACATAGCACAGTATGTTTATTTATTTATTTATAGGATAAACACTTTTGGATTTATTTTCATTATTATCCATTATTATACCATGCATTTATTTGTACTATTAACAATAATATATATATATATATATTTTGTCTATTAAAAAACATTTTATTTAAAAAGTTTTCAACATTACACTTAAAATTAAAAAAATATTTTGTTGTTTTAATTAGTGTCCAACTGTGTGTGGCTTATTTGTTACACCCTGTTACAACTAGCCCCTCTGTGTTGTGTTTTCCTCAAAACTGGCTAACAGTCACCATGTGTTTTACATCTTTCAAAATGGTTCCATCTTTTAGCCTAGAAGACGGTAATCACAACAATATAAGATGTTAGGTTCATACTTTCACTGAATTTTTAAAATAAAAAAATATCGAGTATAATAAAAAATACCTTTATGCTGCCAAAATGGTTTCTCCTGTGTTTCTCATCCAAATTTCGCTGAACTTTTTAAATAATTTGCAGGAAGACGTCTGCCGACACTGTGGTGAAAACCTCAGAAGCATGCCCTGGCTAACCTTGAGCAAATACCTTAAAACTCTGTTACATTCTACCCCACATTACTTTGTGTCCTGCGCTCCCATATTACCAGAAGCCCTGTAATTTGCGATCTTAAAGAGCGGGTTGGATTATAGTGTTATTACTAGTGCTTAATTATTTTTTTTTTTACTATTAACAAAAACAAAAACATTTTTGTTCTGCTTTAGATTCTTTCGAGAAAAAATAATTTATTTAGCTGAAAACTACATCATTTAGTTTAGATTTTTTTGCAACATTATAAATGTCCTTACTGGTATTTTTGGTCCATATAAATATGATAAACAAATAACATTTAAAATATAATAAAATAAAATAATTACTCTGATGATAAAAATTTGACTTGTAATAATTCAACTATAGAATAATTTTCTTGAGTATCAAAACAGCTTATTAGACTGATTTATAAAAGATCATGTGACATCGAAAACTTTAAATCAGGAATAAATTACATTTTAAATGCATTTACATAGAAAAACCAGATATTCCAAATGTAAAAACTTTCACAACATTACTTTTAAAATGATTTTGTACTAAATAAATGCACAGATGAGTCTTATTATTATATAAAAAAATATATCTAAATATATTTAAACAATAAATATTATATTAATAATCTTAATTAATAAAAATTATTTAAAAACAAAATAAAAAAACTTTTTACTACAATGCCCAAGCTATTTAATCCAGTTTGTTTATTTTTTAACATAATATAATATAATATAATATAATATAATATAATATAATATAACATAATATAATATAATATAATATAATATAATATAATATAATATAATATAATATAATATAATATAATATAATATAATATAATATAATATAGGGTGATGCGGTAGCGCTGTCGCCCTACAGCAAGAAGGACACTGGTTCTAGCCTCAGCTGCGCCAGTTGGCATTTCTGTGTGGAGTTTGTATGCTCTCCCTTTGTTTGCGTGGGTTTCCTCCGGGTGCTCCGGTTTCCCCCACAGTCCAAAGACATGCAGTATAAGTGAATTAGGTAAACAAAATTGACCATAGTGTATGAGTGTGTGAGTGTGAATAAGTGTATGGGTGTTTCCCAGTGCTGGGCTGCAACTTGAAGGGCATCCGCTGCATAAAACATATGCTGGAATAGTTGGTGGTTCATTCCTCTATGGCAACCCCTGGTAAATAACCGACTAAGCCCAAGTAAAATGAATAATATAATATAATATAATATAATATAATATAATATAATATAATATAATATAATATAATATAATATAATATAATATAATATAATATAATATAATATAATATAATATAATATAATATAATATAATATAATATAATACACACTTATACATTTCAAATAAGGCTGTTTTTACACCAATTTCCAGTTCACTCACAGAGTTATTCAGTAGAAAAGCATGCAAAAAAAGAGATGTTTTCTCAGAGCTTTGGACTGCACACAGAGTCTAAACTGACAATATCCAGCTGCAGAAATCAGATAAAATTATCGTGCACAGTTTCTTCAAAAAAAAAATAAGTTTTGAGCAGTAAACATTATGCAACCCTGTTTATAAAACCCCCCCAATGAGTTCAGTTGAGCATTATTAGTGTCTGTCAGTGTTTATGAGCCTCTCAATTACCGATCAGGTCATGCACTCCTGCAGACAAATTCTACGGGAATACAGAAGGAAAAAAAAAAAAAAACAGCAAAAGAATGTGGGAATGGCAGAGAAATGAAACGGATGCATTTACCAGATAAGGGTGGAGTATATTCCGTAAATCATGCATGAAAGTGAAAGTTACCTGACTTTTTTTTGCATATAAGCACCTGCACTTGATACCTGCATTGCACACCTGCACAATCATCTGATGCTTTTGAGAAGAACAAACACAAAGACAACAATGCAGACTTCAACCATAACTCTCCTGCTCATCGCTGCGGTTTTCTGCATCAACACTGAAGGTAAGAACGAAACAGAAAAGACATGCAATTTCCCGTAAAAGCTTTCCGGGAGCTGGCTAAATTTTGTTCTTGCGTGGGGTCAGATGCATATAGAGAGGAGGAATTTCCGCTGTCAGCCGTAACTAATGCATGCTTTCACTTTCAGCATTTCCAGACACAGCTGTCGATTGCTGCTTGACCACCAAGGACACTCGTATCCCTCTGCAGATTGTTGCGTCCTACTTTCATCAAACCACAGAAAGTGGATGCCCCATTGCAGCTACTGTGTAAGTAGTAGATGATTGGCTTCATTGATTTCTCTACACTGAAGTAAATGATTCAAATAAAGAGTTCTGCAGACGTGCAATAGAAGAGCCTTCAGTAAACAGTACTTAATAGGGAAGAGTTCACTCACAAATGAACTTTCTGAGTTTCTTTCTTCTGTTAAACTTAAAAGAGGATATTTTGAAGAATGTTGGATTTCCGTAGTAGTCAAAAATTTTCCTATGATAGTCAATGGATAAAAGCAGCATTGTTTGATATTTAAAACATAGTATAGTTCACTTAAAAATGACATTCTGTCATAATTTATTCACATTGTTGAGTTTCTTTCTTCTGTTGAACACAAACGAGGATGTTTTGAAGAATGTTGGACTTCCATAGTAGGAAAAAGAGTTACTATGAAAGTCAATGGGTTGAAAGCAACCAGCACTCCTCAAATTATAAAAGGGATAGTTCACTAAAAAATTAACATTCTGTCATCATTTAATCACCTCGTTGAGTTTATTCTGTTAAGCTCAAAAGATATTTTGAAGAATGTTGGACTTCTGTAGTTACTATGGAAGTCAGTGGGTGAAAGCAGCCAACATTCTTCGAAATATCTTCTTTTGCTTTCAACAGAGGAAAGAAATTCATCAATGTTTATAAATGGTGACAGAATGTTCATTTTTGGGTGAACTATGGGAATGCTGGTTGCTTTCACCCATTGACTTCCATAGTAAAATTTTTGACTACTGCAGAGGTCCAACATTCTTTAAAATATCCTCAATTGAGTTCAAAAGAAGAAAGTTACTCAACGAGGTTTATAAATGATGATAGAATGTCATTTTTAGGTGAACTGTACCTTTATATTACGAAGAATGCTGGCTGCTTTCACCTATTGAAATCCATAGTAACATTTTTCTTCTACTACAAAAGTCCAACATTTTTCAAAATATCCTCTTTTGAGTTCAACAAAAGAAAAAACTCAAAAAAAGTTTAAAAACACACGAGGGAGAGTAAATAAGGAGATCATTTTCAGTTTTTGGGTGAACTATTCCTGCAAGGCATTGTAGACAAAAGCACAATTTTCATGCACCTGTCAGTTCTGATATTTAATTGTGTTTTTTGTGTAATATAAAGAAAATGTCGAGATTTCAATTACAAAATGAGTCATAAACCTTCACTTCAGCGTACAGTATCTTTCAGTTTCTTTACAAACTTCTGGAAAGTTCTCTGAAGCGTCTTACAGTAATTATGTTTACATTTACCTAATTATATATAACATTTAAAAGACTTCAGGTTATAATTTTATTTCTGGCTGTTTGTAGGATTTTATTTGAATTATGGAATGATAAAAGGTGATTTTGGGGATCGCTTTTTATTTTTATTTTTCCATTATTGAAAAAAAAATGTGAATAGCCATGAATAAATTCAAATTTTAAGTTAAATAAAATGTTGTATGTGTGTAAATAATCAGGAACATATAATGTATTTATATTTAAAACAAAAAACTTTCACTAATGTGACAAAAATTAGAATTAAACAAGAATTTTGTACTTGATTTGATCACAGAAATGTTTGAAAAGTAGCACATTTATTTAAAAAGTACATTTATTTTTGCATATTTAACATAACATTTTACAAAATGCTATTCTTAAGGGGAAAGTTCACCCAAAACATTTGGATGCGTCATCATTTACTCACTCTTGTGTGGTTTTTAATCATTTCTGATTTAGTAAATTAGTAACGTCTTTTTTATGTTGAACACAAATGAAGATATTTTGAAGAATTGCTTTCACCAATTGACTTTCATTGTAAGGAAAAGGTGCCAGATTTTCAACTTTTGGGTTTATAGAAGCACAGGAACCAATAGAACACTTTATATCCAGCAGTAAAGGATTACATTCATATATACTGTATGTTCCCACAGATTCATCACCAAAAAGGACAAGAAACTCTGCGCCCCACCAGAGAAAAACACCTGGATTTCCAGGATCATCTCACACCTGGAGAAGAAGCAGAGAAAAGCACTTCAGTAGGAAGGTGAGGTATTAAAAATAACCTCTTGCTTCCGCTCTGAAAGTTTTGTGACACCTCAAACACCTTTATTTGAAAGGCTGAATCAGACCTTTAGCAGAAGTTCTTCTTCCTGGAATCATTGTCTGTCCCCTGATAAGAATAATGTAATCTAGTTTCGTTTTTCTGCTGTTTTTCAGACGAGAAGTGAACAAGATGACCCCGCAGCTGCACTTAACAAACAGGAAGCGATGGCTCTTTATCATCCACGTTATGAACCATTACAGGCAGATATGCTATTTGAGTAGTGTGATATGCTTTTTATTACTTGTCGTACTGTGTCAATTTTGAGTCTTATACATCTGCATGATTATTCCTATAAGCTTGTGTTATTATGACTGATGCTTTGTGTGTTTTTTTTACTAAGAATGATTTTTTAAATAAATAAATGTTTGTAAATCTCTTGTCATCTGCAATTATTTTCAATAAAAGCACCTCACAGTTATGTGTTTTATTAAATGTTGAGGGATAAAGAAAGCAAACCAAAAATGAGGGCAAGAATCTTGGTGTTATTCTGGAGTCAGATCTGAGTTTCAATAGTCACATCAAGCTAGCAACTAAATCAGATGTCAAACACATTGCAAGAGTTAGATGTTTCCAGTGAGGAATTAGAGAAATTTGCTCATGCTTTAATCACCAGCAGAGTGGATTACTGTAAATGACTCCTCACTGGCCTTTTAAAGGTATGAAACGCAAGATAAATATAAAGGTATAACGAGCTTTAGGTATAAAATAGGTATAAATTTAGGTATACTGTAGATCACTGTAATGTGGTGATGTCATTAGCCCATGAACATTTCCAGTTGTCAAACTATTTCATATCTGTAACAAGAGGCGATTCAATCATAACTTGATGTTATAACAGCTATCATAGCATTATTTATCAATATGTGGAACTTTTAAGACTCTCAAAAGCTATGGAAATTTTAAATGTAAAACAGGAAGTTCGTCAGGATTATTTTATCTTTTAAAATGGTCTATAAAAGGTGTAAATTTAAAGGTATATAAACATTCTACCATTGTATACTCACCCTTTACTTGTTTCAAACATAAGGACGTAACGATTCATCGTGAGCTGGTTGAAAATTGATTAAAATATGTGACGATTCAAATCATGAAAAATATGTTGAACGAATCGCAATACATTTTTTGAACAAAGGGGGCGCTGTGTTTACAGGTGCAAACTCGCTTTACCTGCACATCAGTAACGAGCAAAGAGTAAAATGACAACGGTGAGGTGTGCCAGATAAATCACAAACTGTGTACAAAAAGACGTTTACTTACACTAACAGACCAATGAATATAATGCACATAAACTGTCAGCACAGTGAAAAATTACTGTCACAGACGTCTATATGAAAAAAAAAGCTATTAAGCCAAACCACGTGGACCAGGGGCCTCATGTACAAAGACTTGCGTTGAATTAATGCTACAACATTGCTTACGGACAAAGCTGTAAATGTGTGTACGCAGTAAAAAAAATCAGATGTAGCCAATGAAACACTGCGTATGCAGAATCCCACGCATATTATCTTTGTACATCCGAATAAACATGAAACTGAGTGCACGTGCACGAGCGCAAAACCCCTCCCTGCTTCCTCCCCCATATAAATATGGTAATGAATTCACTTTGGCAAAACCAAACGATAAAGCAATGGCAAAAGCAAGCAAGAAGAGAAACTTCACAGAATGGGAATTGGAGGTGCTGCTATCAGAGGTAGACTGGAGAAAAACTGCGTTATTTGCAAGTTTGTCCTCCGGAATTAATAACAAAAGAAAAAAATACAGTGGGAGAGTTTAGCTGACTCGGTTAACGCAGTGGGGTCTGAACATCGCACTGTGAGTTAATTAAAAAAGAAATTGGTTTAATTTAAAGGTGCAGGTTAGAAGTAGAACAGCGGCGCACTGTTATAGTGTGGACCGAACAGGCGGGGGAACAGGGGATGCTGAACTAACACCCTTTGTGGAGAGAGTTGCTTCAATTGTGAGCGACACTTTACTGTCTGGAGTAGTATCTGTGTGTGTGGGAGACACAGATGTATAATTAGAGGAACACTTTGTTAGGGCGGTATAGCAACACCCCTCCGCTCTTATCAAGGCAGCGCCACTGGCATTTCAGCTGCCCTATCGCCCGCTCTGGAACTGAGGTTGCTGGAACTAGGTTGCTGTTAGAAGTGGTGTTAGTGAGGCCAGCAGGGGTCGCTTAACCTGTGGTCTGCGTGAGTCCTAATGCCCCAGTAAAAAAGTGAAGGGGACACTACACTGTCAGTGGGCGCCCTCTTTCGGATGAGACGTTAAACCGAGGTCCTGACTCTCTGTGGTCATTAAAAATCCCATGGCACTTCTCGTGAAAGAGCAGAGGTGTAACCCCGGTGTCCTGGCCAAAGTCTCTCTATCAGCCCTTACAATCATGGCCTCCCAATCATCCCGATCCACTGAATTGGCTCTATTATTGAGTCTCCAATCCACCAATAGCTGGCGTGTGGTGAGCGCACTAGCACCGTTGTCCTGTGGCAGCCGAAACTGACTGAGAGCGAAAATGGAATAATATCTTTAAATACATAACTCACCAAGTAGCCACCCATCGTGCACCCTACCACCTTGGAGCCTCGTAGCTGTCTCTTTTTCCAAATTTCGACCCAACTCAGCACAGAACTCCAATAGGATAGCTCTTGGAAATCTGAAACAGCTAATTAGCCAGTGGGTTATCGTGGGCCAGAAAATAACTGTGATCCCTAAAAAACGCGTTCCCTTCGGATTCGACTATTGACAATGTCAATATAATAAGGCCAACACTGCCTTTGCCATAGAGTAAAGATTATATACATTTGCAAATGCTTTTATATGTTCTGAATCACATAATTGATTAAAAATATTGTTAATTAATCTATTTTATCAATTATAAATGAATAGCAATCTTTTTCACGTGTTGGTGCGATACTTTGTAGTGTGCAATTTAACATAATTGCCTCTAGGAGTCGCCAATGGAAATAAAACAAACACACAAAAGAAATACACATACGCCAGACATGAAGTTGGCGCGGACCAACGCACATTCTCAAGTTAATTTCATCATTAGTAAATCCAAACGTGATATTGAAAACTGGCGCACGCAGCGTTGATACATGAGGCCTCTGATGGTTTGCAGCTCCGCTTGCTCTGAGTGCTATGGTAATTACATGGTGCATCAGTGTTTTCATAGCGAAAGTCTAAAGATGTTTTTCAGATTGAAAGAGAAAGTTGTTCTGATACAGAAGCAGGTATTAGACTGTTTTTACCCTCTCCTTTTCAAATGAGTTTATGCATAAATAATTAGTAATAATTTGCTTAGTTATGAATATTTAAAAATGTTCAAGATTATCTTTCTTGAAGTGTATCACACTGATACTTATACTAATTAATTGTGCAAGGAATATTAATTGTTCACCTAATCATCTTCAACCCCTGTCTCTATCGCTATGTCTACTATATAATTACTAATTTTATAATCTGTATTTTTTTATTGACCACCTCTGTCTGGTTTAGGAAAGGCTTTCCTCTTCATACCAGCCATCTCAGTCCCCAGTGAAAGAGTTTTTTCATGAGCAGGGGACATTGTAAATGTGCAAAGACCTCAGCTTATGCCAGAAAACATAGATATGCTGATATTTCTTTTTAAATATGTAAAATCCCAGCACAGAGTTTTAGTTTGTATTATTTTATTTACTTTTGGAATTTATTTGTTTTTAAAATAGCAATTTAGTTATGGCAGAAAATATTTTATTTTGCAAAACATGTGCAGCATTTAAAAAAAATTGAAAGGGCTTTTCACCTTGAATTTGTTGCAGATAGACCTCAGTAGCAGAAGGCGTTATAGTTGGGAAAACTTGAGGGAGTTCAACAAATATTTTTATAAAAATACAAATTACAAAAAAATACAAAAAAAAAACAAATATTTACCGCCTCGCGGTCCTATATGCCAATCCTTCCCCTCTCTCTGCTCCCCACACTTTTCTGTCAATACTCTCTACTGTCCTGTCCATTAAAGGTGAAAACCCTCAAAAAATAGTTATATATATATGGGCGAGGCAGTGGCGCAGTAGGTAATGTTGTCGCCTCACAGCAAGAAGGCCACTGGGTCGGTGGTTCGAGCCTTGGCTCAGTTGGCGTTTCTGTGTAAAGTTTGCATGTTCTCTCTGCCTTCGCGTGGGTTTCCTCCGGGGGCTCCAGTTTCCCCCACAGTCCAAAGACATGCGGTACAGGTGAATTGGGTAGGCTAAATTGTCAGTAGTGTATGAGTGTGTGTGTGGATGTTTCCCAGAGATGGGTTGCGGCTGTAAGGGCATCCGCTGTGTAAAAACTTGCTGGATAAGTTGGTGGTTCATTCCGCTGTGGTGAACCCGGATTAATAAAGGGACTAAGCCGACAAGAAAATGAATGAATGAACATATATATATATATATATATATATATATATATATATATATATATATATATATATATATATATATATATATATATATATAAATATATAAATATATATATATATTAAGTTATAATTGAATCGCCTCTTGTTACAGTTATGAAATAGTTTGATAACAAGCAGGAAATGTTCATGGGCCAATGACATAACCACATTGAAATGATCTCCTCTCTTTCTCCTCTCTCTGTCTGTCTCTGTAACTACACACACACACATTGGTTTTCATTTATTGGTACTTTCCATTGACCCAATGGTATTATTTTGTACAGACAATACTAAATCCAAAGCTCACAGGAAACATTCTGCAGTTTTACAGTTTCAAAACGATCTGCACGATTTATGAGCCATTTTCTTAATGTCCTCACAGGGACAGAAATGACTGGTATTACTCTACTTTAGGGACATTGAAGAATACTAGGAAAACCCATTCACACACACACACACACACACACACACACACACACACACACACACACACACACACACACACACACACACACACACACACACACACACACACACACACACATCATTAAATATTTTGTAGTGTTATGTTTGGCATCCATCTTTGCCAAATAAAAGGATTAATTTCTTTCAAATACAAATCTAACTAACTTCAATACTTTGAGTTGTAATGTAACTTCAGATTCGGCTTAATTTTTGCATATAAACAACAAAGAGCTGGAAACTTGTAGAATGTTGCCCTATATAAGGTATATGCACAGTTTTTCTGACCATACCGCTAAACTTCTGGTAAATGGTTAATGTGAGTTTTTCCAGTTTTATACGGTTACTTTACAGCATCGATGTAATTAAAATGTAATCAGTTTAATAGACTTTTAGTTAGTTGTTCAAGCGTAAAACAAGATGAAAAGCTGTTTACATGCATGTGCCCTAAGGAGCAGCAGGCGAGTGCAGAAATTCCATTTAAATTTTATTCATTCTTTTATTTTATTTTCAGCTTAGTCCCTTTATTAAACAGGGGTCGCCACAGCGGAATGAACTGCCAACTTACTCCATTAAAAATACTGGGGTAAAATAAATGTTCATATTTTAAAGACATGGTGCAGAAAAATGTCATGTAATGCAGTGCTTCTTGTAAATTCTGAGACCCACTTTAAATACGGATATCACTCAGGCAAAGAAGATTGTTGATTTTTAAAGAAAACAGACAATTAAATGTGCAGATTTTGTACGACATACAATTCACTGGCTACAAATATAAAGTCCTTCTGCGTACTTCTGCATATATCCTATTGACATCAAAGCATCACACAGTTAGATTTATCAGCCGATCATCTCTCATTTCAGCACATGTTATAGGTGCTCAACTGTACTGAGATCTGTAAAGCATTAAACAAATGCCAGAGTAATTGGTGGTTCGTTCACCTGTGGCGACTCCTGTTATATGAGGGACCAAGCCGAAGGATAGTGAATTCGTGAATTAAGTTTCAGAAGCAAGGCTTAATTTGTGCTTCATAACATTTATTCAGATGTAAAGATGAGCACATCTAAAATCTTGACTGTTGAGTCAAAGTTCTTGTCTTGCTTTATAGCTCGATGTTAAAATAATAAAAGCTTATAAATTTAGTGGGCAACACGGTGGCTCAGTGGCTAGCACTGTCACCTCACAGCAAGAAGGTCGCTGGTTTGAGTCCTGGCTGGCATTTCTGTGTGGAGAGCCATTAAAACCAATGATACAAAGCACAATGCATTTAGACTTTGTTTGAATCAACTTCAAAATGTCTGACACAGACAAGAAAAACCTTTTTCCAATCTTCTGTTGTTCTGTTTTGGTGACTGTATATATATTATAACCTCTGTTTGCTGTTTTTATAAGACAGGAGTGTCATCTGTGTTCTTCTTCCTCTTCTGCTTTTTCTTTTGCTGCTGTAGCTCATCTGCTATAAGGTTTGATGTGTTCAAAGATGCTCTTTTGCAGTACTTGGTTATATCGAGTGATTATTTAAAGTACAAATTAGCTGAACCAGTCTGATTGTTGCCCTCTGACCTCTGGCATCAAAATAAAACCGAACATGAACTGAAATGACTTTCACTTTACATTTTCATTTTTCCTCATCGTTTTTTGTAAACTCTAGAGATGTTTGTGTGTGAAAGTCCCCAAAGATTATCGCTTTCTGAAAGATCATGTGATGCCAGCAACCGCCCCACATTCAAAGACACTTACATCACCTTTTGTCCCCATATTCTGTCATGTCATTGAGTTAGATATTTGCATTAATGAGCTAAACAGGTTTACCTAGTAAGGTGGACTGTGAGTTGCTGTGCGGTCAGAAACCTTCAGGATTCCCCTGTCTTATACACACTGAATACAAAAGCATGTTCATTGTTTACCACTGCTTTCTACGCTAACAGATTTAATATTATTATTATCACAATTTTATAATTTCTAATGTTGTATTCTCCCTATATTACTATAGCGCTTTTGCTATGTAGATTGTGTCAAAGAAGCTTAACGTAAAAAGCCATAACAATATTTTAGATTGTGGAACATTCCAGCATTTAGGCAGGAAGCAGAATAACACTGAGTCCTAACAACAGGTGACATGACAAGATTCCAACGTCAAGCAATTTGTCTGTCTGCACCAAACGTGATGTTACAGAAACATTTAAATACCAGCCACTGTACTACCAGTGAAATGGTAAAAGCTTTTAATGTAATTAATACAAGTTAAACCTCTTTAACATTATTAATAGGCTACTGAGTGAATGATGTTGTCACAGTTCTGGCTTTCATTTTCAAACTGTCTTCTAGAGACAGTATTTTAATTTTAAGATCTGAGGTGAGCCATCTGCTGCTTAACATTGAATGAAGCCCATAATCAGTACCTGAGGTGATCTTTGTCATCGTATGCTGTTGTTCTGTTGTGACGTCACGCAAATAGAAAGCATTTCTAAAATAGAAATTTTGTGCATTGTAGATAGTCAGGACAAATACTCCTTTTAACATGGATAATATTCATTTTATGGTATGTAGCTGCGTCATGTGTTGTTAAGACACAGTATAATAGTACAGGGGTTCCCAAACTTTTCAGCCCGCGACCCCCAAAATAACAATGTCAGTGAGTCGTGACCCCCATTTTTCAAAGTGGTTATACTGTAAATATATAAACGTTGCAGACACAACTATAGGCCCATATAAACATGAACATATTGACAACACATAAATGCAGCATATAATGTTTTTTTAGTCATTTATTAATTTAATTACATTTTAATATAAGAATTAAAAGCTGATGGCTGATTTTTGTTTGTATGTTGTTGTTTCTTTAACTCAACTATTAATCTTCTGTGGGTTATGAATAAAATATGACAATTTAAATAGTTGAATAAAATTTATTTAAATTTTGGAAATCACCAAGCGACCCCTTGTCATTGTCCCGCGACCCCCCAGGGGGTCCCGACCCCCACTTTGAGAACCACTGTAATGGTAGACTGCTTGGGTAGTTTTAGTCAAATTAAAACAGCTTCAGTTCAGTTAACAAACAACACATGACGTGACAAGATTCCAATGTCAAAAAATTTGTCTGCGCATTAAACATTTAAATACCAGCCACTGCACTACTAATCAGATGGCAAACGCTTTTAATCTAAATAATACACTTTAAACCTCTTTATCATTATTAATAAGCTACAGAGTGACTGATGTTGTCACAGTTTTGACTTTCATTTTCAAACCGTCTGCTAGTTATTTTGATATCAAGATCTGAGGTGAGCTATCTGCTGCTGCTTTTAGTAGTATGGTAATAAATGTCATGTAAAATGGTATTTAAACTCACATTGGTTGTATTTAACATTGAATGAAGCCCATAATCAGTACCTGAGGTGATCATAGTCATAGTATGCTGTTGTTCTGCTGTGACGTCACACAAATAGAAAGCATTTCTAAATTAGAAATTGTGTGCATTGACATTGTAGATGATTAGGACAAAAACTCCTTTTAACATTGATAATATTCATTTTATCACATGTAGCCGCGTCATGTGTTGTTACGACACAGTATAATAGTAGAATGCTTGTGTAGTTTTAGTCAAATTAAAACAGCTTCAGTTCAGTTAACAAACAAAACGTGACGTGACAAGATTCCAACGTCGAGCAATTTGTCTGTCTGCACCAAACGTGACGTGACAGAAACATTTAAATACCAGCCACTGCACTAATAATGAGACAGTAAAAGCTTTTAATCTAAATAATACACATTAAACCTCTTAACATTATAAGTAGGCTACTGAGTGACTGATATTGTTACAGTTCTGGCTTTAATTTTCAAACCGTCTGCTAGTTATTTTAATTTCAAGATCTGAGGTGAACGATTTGTTGCTGCTTTCAATAGTATGGCAATAAATATCATGTTAAATGGTATTTAAACTCACATTGGTTGTATTTAACATTGAATGAAGCCCATAATCAGTACCTGAAGAGATCATTTTCATAATAGTATATGCTGTTGTTCTGCCGTAATGTCGTAGAAATGGAAATAGCAGTTGGTTAGGACAAAAACTCTTTTTAACATGGAAAAGATACAGTTTATCATATGTTTCAGGAGTTGTTAGGATATGGTGTGAGACTGTTCTGATTTCTGCTATTGTAACATACATCCCATTTGAAAGTATATACACCCAACACAAACACAACAATTATATACGTATTTGGGGATTGTGAATGTTGACATTCAGTCTATGTTATATGTATGCTTGTTCCAGTGGTTTATGTAAAAATGCACATCTCCTATCAGCACAACAAAAAACATCTAATAAAAAGAAGACAAGCATGTTCATACTAACAACAACATCCTTCTAGATTTCTTATAATTTTAGACAATTTCCTATCATTTTAAACAGAAACTGCATTTACTACAGCAGGGTTAATTTAGTAGTTTCCCGTTACGCACCAGTAATAATTAACCTTGAAATATGAAGTAAACATTAACAGCAAGTGAACTGGTTTTTTAACCTTCTGGAATTCCCTTCTCCACATTGACAGATAGCACGTAAACTATGCACTGAAATTTACCAAACTGTTTGGCAGGTTTTATTTAAATCACTCATATCGAAACGTATGCCAGTCTGATGGCCTTTAAGTGAAAGTATGTGAGAGTTTATGTATGGGGTAAGCAGGGAAGAGAAAATAAACGCAAGGAACAGATACAGAGGAAATGCTTTGTCCAGTAAATATGACCCTGGACTATACAAAAAAGGGCTTTTGTACAGGTCAGCCTCTCATTCAAGCTGTTGACATTTGTTTTTTTACAGAAAGGGGCAGGCCTTCAGTCATAGTGAAACCTTAGAGTGTGTATAAACCAGGGCAGCGATAGAGCGGTGAGAGGAGAGACTCGCAGATCTTTCAGACTCAACACTCTTCTAGCTTCTCCAGAACTGCAATGGCTTCATCCATCATGTCTGCGTTCTGTCTGGCTGTTTCTGCTTTGCTGCTCTGTTTCTACAGCAGCCCGACAGGTGAGTCTGTCATATTCTCTGCCGCCTTCTATACACTGTAAACAATATCTGTAAATTAGCAGTTTAGCATATTTTGTGATTCATGTTTTTATTTTTCCCCACTTATTTATGCTTTTGAATTGAATTATGTAAGGCTGATCTTTCTTCCGACAACTTTTAACCATAAAAAGTTGGATAAACTGACTTTTATTAACATTTTTAGTGGTTTAAAGTGATATATTGTCTGGTTTGGTGTTGTTTATTACGGTGTGAAATCTGGTAATAAACTGCCAGTACATTTTCTGTTATTTTACAGACAAATTTCTATCTATATATTATTTTTTATATATTATATTATTTCAAACTACTAAAATGTCAATAAAAGTCACTTTGCTAAACCGTAGAGTTAAATTTTCGACATCAAATGTTGACAGAGCAGAGATCAAGCTCCTAAAATGCAATTCACATTCACAGAAAACACATTTTTTACAGTGTATATGATGTGCTTGATTTGTTTATTTATTTTTCTTTATCTGTCATGTATGATAACAAAAAAAAAAATTATATTTATTACAAAACAAAACAAATTACCTAATGAAAACCTAATTATCTATCAAAATAGAGAGCAATTGTTATGTATGTAGCATGTATTATTTATCTGTCACAGTTTTTTTGTACAATATTTGTATGCTAAATATAGAATGTTATTTTTTTATATAAATAATTGTCGAGTTTTTTTATGTAGTAGGATGTATATATAGGTTACAATTTCTTATACGATATTTTTGAAGTGTATTCTTTATATTTAACTATTTAAAAAAATAAAACATTAAATTTAAAAAATATATAAATAATATTTCTATTTGTATATTGTTATATAAAATATTAATAAAATATTGTTCAATTATTACATTTCAAATGTTATATTTAATTATGATCTTTTAAAAATTAAAGATAAAGAAGTCCTGCTCACTCTCCATAATCTGAACGAATTATATTTTTACAGCAACATTAGCATTCATTTAGAAATAGAAATATTATTTATATATTTTTTACATTTAATGTTATATTTTTTTAAATAGTTAAATATAAAGAATACACTTCAAAAAGAAAAAGAAGAAATTGTAACCTTTAAAATAATTAATCAATAATTATTATTTTTTTATAATTGTAATAATTATTAGTAATTATTAATAACAGAAACATATTTTGATTTTATTTGACAGATTAAATGATAATAATAACAATTATTTGTTTTAATTTTTATTATTAATTATTTATAACATATATTTCTGTATTAAATAAGGTTCATAATTTACATAGAAATTTATATTAAATTACATATTATATACAATTATATACAATATAAATCTTTTAAATGAATTCATGTGCATTTATATAACAAGCAATATATCAATTAAACTATATATATACACACACACACACACACACACACACACACACACACACACACACACACACACACACACACACACACACACACACACACACACACACACACACACACACACACACACACACACATATATATATACCTGATGTGGGAATTAGCATTCAGTCTCTATTCCCACTTGATTCCAGCTGTGCACATTTGCTTTGCTTTCCTGCAAACTCGATGAGAAAGAGTTATTGTGTTTGGCTTTAAAGAGTACATTACAGCACGGTGAATTACGCATAATAAATCTTTCAAGCCAAACACAATAACCCTTTCTCTTAAAATCAGATGTTTTAAGCGTCTCTGGAGGTCGACATGGATGGTGCTAACATGCCTTTTTCAGTCTTCCCATCTCTTGTTCTCATCGTTGTTTTTCCTCTGTTGTCTCGGTTTCTCTCAGTGGCTCAGGCAGATTTAGCACTGGACTGTTGTCTGACGGTCAGCCCAAGAGTCATTCCCAAACACGTTATTCTCGCTTACCAGAAGCAGAGCAGAGGTGACGGCTGCCCACGTGATGCTGTTATGTAAGTGTTCATCAATGAAAAGTTTCTAGATTAAAAACGTGGGCATGAACCAAACTATTGTCACAATGTGTGTTTTCGTGTTGCGATAACTGTAGATGTTTTATCACAGTATTGCGTTATCATAAGCCACAAAACATCAGTGTGAAATCATAATTTACAGCTATTTGTTCATTTACAGCTAGCGCACGTTGTTATTCTTCAGGTGAAAAATTAATGTGCAAGTTAATTCACTGATGATCCACAGAAAATGATATTTAAACTCACATTGGTTGCATTTAACACAGAATAAAGCCCATAATCAGTACCTGAGGCGATCATTGTCATAGTAGTATATGCTGTTGTTCTGCCGCAATGTCACAGAAACAGAAATGTCAGATTGTAAGGACGATGCCATCATCCATCGCCGATGGCCGATAAACTTCAGGATGCTGAGCTGGCATCGTGATCCATCGCCCCGCCCCACATTTATATTGATATATAACTTATTATTTGCAATAACAATAACAGTCTTTTCATGAGCTGTGTTAAATTTTACATATAGCTGCGGCTTGCACGGCTGACAGCATCGTGAAGATTAAATGAAGGATTATACAGTACCTCTTGTGCTTAAAATGTGTAGATTCAGGCCCCGTTTACACTAATGCGTTTTAGTTTGAAAATGCATAAGTTTTGCTACGGTTACGCCAACCGTCCACACTACGCCGGAGTTCTCGAGCGCCGAAAACGGAGCGTTTCGAAAACGCTGGAGAGGCCGTTTTCATTCTGAAACGCTGCTGCTCCGTCTCAGTGTGGATGATGGAAAACAGAGACATCTGAAAACGGAGGCGGGGCTGCTGACATTCGCCTCTCTGATTGGGGCTTTTCCTGAATATTAAGTAGCCCACACACAGTTCAGTCCTGCATTTTCTCCGTGTAAGTTCAGACTTCGCAAGTTTGATCAAGGCTGCAGTCTCTTCTTCTCAGTTTGATATGGAAAAACAGACTATACCGAGGACACGGGTAAATCTTCAAAGGGAACAGTGTACTTCAAAACTTCATTCACATCACCCTGGCTACGTTGTTTGGCTAAGAGCAGTTAAGAAACGCTGGTTAAAACGCGAGTGTGGACGCGGATCGTTTTCATTCTAAAACGCCGTTTTAAAACTAAAACGCACTAGTGTAAACGGGGCCTCAGTGGCAAACGCTGTTACCTGCAAACCCCGTCCCAAAGACTCTACAGTGAATGGCTTCAGTTATTTTCATAGCGGACTCGAAGCCACTGGAAGTCTTTTATCCACTCTTGGAAAAGTCTAAATGGTGGATTAACATTCAGCACATGATCACTAATAGGATGTGCCATTGTTAGTAACTGTAGGTGGTTTCTAAAACAAAATCTGTCAGTGTTATTTTCATTCTCTCATCTTCATTCTCTCATCTTGCGTTGTTAGGACACAGTATAATCATAGAATGTTTGTATAGTCTTAGTTTAATTAAAACGGATTCAGTTTAGTTTAATGTGAATTTTGCTCTTGAAGGACAATCTAAATAGCAGCTCAAATCAAAATGCAGACCGGATCCAAGATTACATGAACTTCTGGATAAAACTTGAAGAGCTATGAAACCCCCCTGTCTCAGCAGGTTGTTTTCACACCTCTAGTTTGAAAAAGGTCAGGAAAGTGGGAGAGTCCAGGTCTGTTTAGGTGGGAGTGTTGAGTGGCGAAAGAGGGAAGGGCTTGCATAAAAAGGGGAGTTTCAGTTCGAGCACGCGCTGAGTTTCACAGAAGCAAAACAACACACAGACGAAGGGGAGAAAGACAGTGTGTACATGGACATCAGTAATCCGATTATTTGCCAAATTCTTAATTTGTTGACTTAAACTGCAGTTTGGCACTTTCACCTTCATTCAGGAGCATTTCATGCATCCCCCGGTAACAAACGAGATATTGAATATGCTGGAAGAGTGTAGTTTTAATGGAATATTTGATACCGCATGGCGAAGAAGAGAAAATAAGCCTCCACATCTCTCAGTAACTTAGATGCACTCGATAGGTAGCGTCAGAAAGCCGTGTGTGTAAAGACTATCCTGTAACAAAATGCGGCGAAAATCTGTTGAACAGTTGGATGTCCCAAACACTTTCTTCATTTAAATAAAGAGAAAACTGAAGTCATTGCATTTGGGAACTGAAAAGATGGTGAATGCTTACCTTGGCTTTGAGGTCAAACAACAACAAACCAAGTCAACATTCTTGGTGTGATTCTGTAATCAGAAATAAGTTTCAGTAGTCATGTCAAAGCAGTAACTAAATCATCATATTATCATCTCAAAAAAACATTAAAACAGTTATATATGGTGGCACTGTGGCTCAGCACTGTTGCCTCACTGCAAGAAAGTCACTGGTTCGAGTCCCAGCTGGGCCATCTCTGTGTAGATTTTGCATGTTCTCTCTGTGTTGGCCTGGGTTTCCTTCACAGTGCAATGACATGCACAATAGAACTAACTAAAATTGAACTAACTGAACTAACTAAATTGGCCGTAGTGTATGAGTGTGTGTGTGAATGCGAGAGTGTATGGGTGTTTTCCAGGTCTGAATATTATTGAAAGTCAGTATAATTCACAATTATTTAAAAAATATATGTTTCATTATTAAATATTGGCGTGTGAATTGCTATTTTAATAATGCCTAAATGTCTTGTTCTGGTCAAATAACATGCATAAATAAATATATTGTCTTTCAGATTCATCACCAGGAAAGGATTGAACCTTTGTGCTCCGCCTGCCAGTGAAGAGTCGTGGGTAAGAGACACCATGACGTTTCTGGACAAAAGGAGGGAAAAGTGCAAAGAAACAAGGTTCATCGTAAGTGATTTTTGTGGTTTCCACATAGTTGTGTTTCCTCTGTATCTGATGACATAAAGCTGGCTGCGGGTTAGACGTGAAGCTGTTGTTATTGCATGAGCCCCGCTGCACTTGCCGTCACTTTTCATCTGTGACTCATGACTTTGTTTATATGTGGATCACTAGTCAGTTTTTATAGCCTTACTCATACCAAACCACAGATTATTCAGCTGTGAAACCACAAACCAAAACATCCTACTACATCTGAAGAGCATTAAATGGCATCAACGCTGCTGGGTTTGAAGAGCATTAGACCACCAAGAATGAGCCTCTGGAGCGCAAAAGAAATCTAAAACAAACTAATTAAATAATTGTTTTATTTTATTTATTTTAAATAAATAGGTAAATAAATAAAGATTTTATTTATTTATATTTTCATTTTATTTAAAATAAATTAATAAATACATATTTTATTTATTTATTTAAAAAAAAATTTATTAGGCTCATCTTAGGTCAGACATTAAAATATGCATAATTTTGATACATAAAGATATACACACTGATACAATTCACCAAACTAGAAATTATCAGGAAAACATAATTATACACTAAATAAGAATATAAATAACATGTAAAATACCACATTTATACTCAAAGATATACAAACATAAGATAACAAAAATAAACAAATAAACAAATGAAAATAAATAATACAAAGAAAGTAGATAATACAAAGAAAATGTATTTAATTTTTTTACATTATTTTTTTATAAATAAAAAAATACATATTTTTATTTTCATTTTAAATAAATACATAAATATTTTATTCTATGATTTTTATAAATAAAAAATAACACAATTATAAATAAACAACAATAATAATAATAATAATAAAAATAAATAAATAAATAAATAAATAAATAAATAATAATTCAATTCAGCTTTATTTGTATAGCCCTTTTACAATGTAGATTGTGTCAAAGCAGCTTCACATAAATGGTCATAGTAACTGGAACAGTGTAGTTCAGTTTTTAATAATAAGAAGAAAATAATTCAAATAAATTAATAGATTTGACACATCTGATGGCAATATTTTAGTCATTTAAAATATAATTTATTTTAGCTCATTCATATATTTAATTAGGTACAGTTCAGAGTCAATATTTTAAATATATATATTAATATAATTTTTTTTTGTTGCTGAATTATTAATATTTGTTTAACCCATATATTACACATTATTTTTTTTCACAACATTTGAAACTTTTATTTTGATGAAAATAAAAAAATAGTAATTGTTAATAATAATTCAAATGGATTTGCGCTGAAAGATATATTCAACATATATTTTAAGCTATTTATTGTCACAAATATATTATAAACAACATTTAATAGTACTTTTGATGTGATATGCTTTCCATGTATTTTAAGTCATTTTTGTCAACTTAATCGTGACGTCTCAACGAGGAAATTCATATCAGTATCAGAATTCTACTACAGAGTTTAACTATTACTAAAATAATAAAAAATGTGATATTTACAAACAAATCTGTCTGTAAGCTTTAACTAATGGTTTGCTTTGTGTGTTTTTATTCCAGGAGAGACGCTGTCATGCTCTGAAATTTATGAAGTTCTGAGTGAACACATACTGTGTGCACAGTAATATATGCATTAAATGGCAGCTGTTTATGCTAATGAAAAGAGTACATTCCTCCTAAATATCTCTTTGTTTCTTCAGTTGTTTCTATTTCATCATTCAGTTTGCGATTTGTAAATTCACACAAATACTTTGTTACAGTCATATTTTTGCATTTTAAGTGAATAAAGTCTTTGACATCATTGTTGCTGGGTTTTCTGTTATAATAATATATCGTGACTAATGTTTTATTTGAAAATGTTCACATATGCGTGAAGAGATATCATTATATCTTTTAGCAGTTTTGTACATACATTATTTTAATACATTTTTAAAACCATTAAATGTTTGCTGCTTGAACTATTTTGCTTCAGCTAGTTGAATCAATGAATTAATTAGGGATGCACAATATAATGGCTAATATATTGGTTATCGGCTTCCAAATCTAAAGTTATCGGTAGGGCCAGACAGAATCTGTGGACATTTTCTTGCTATTTCTGCGGAGGATTTTGTAAAAAATCTGCCGATTTATGCTGAATAATTTTGTATTGTAACTAAAAACTTAATATATGAAATAAAAGTAACAGCTTTTTAAATTTTATTTAATGTTTACAATGCAAATCCAACTAGATTCAATTCATCTTAAATTGTATAGCGCTATTACAGTGTAGATTGTGTCAAAGCAGCTTCACACAAAGGATTATAGTAAATTGAAACAGTGTCAGTTCAGTTCTCAGTTCAGCTTAGTTCAGTTCAGTGTGGTTTAATTTTTCACTGCTGAAGGTCCAAATACTGAAGAGCAAATCCATTGATAGGCAGCTCCACAAGTCCCGAACCATGCAAGCCAGTGGCGACCAGGGGCAAACTGGGACTAAAAATCAGCCCTGGCACTATAGCCACACCAGGTAAAAATAATATAAGCTGTACCATATGTAATAGATATTTAAACATTTAATGTATGTGACTAGAACAAAAACAACCCATTTATAACAAATTTATCCATACAGTCATTATATTCATTCATTTTCTTTTTGGCTTAGTCCCTTTATTTATCAGGGGTCGCCACAGCAGAATAACCGCCAACTTATTCAGCATATGTTTTATGCAGCGGATGGCCTCCAAGATGCAACCCATCACTGGGAAACCCCTACACACACATTCACATACATGAACTATGGACAATTAGGCCTACCCAATTCACCTATAGCACATGTGTTTGGACATGTGAGGGAAAATGGGAGGAAACCCACGCGAACATGCAAACTCCACACAGAAACACCAACTTTCAAGACTATTTCAGTTAATTTTCTGCATTTAGCAAACTTTTAGAGCAATTTTTTGCTTTCTCTGAATTTTTCGGCACCGACTTTCATTTTTACTGTCCATCTCTGACAATAAGCTTGTGTTGCGCTTACTGTTTGTTTGACATTCTTGCCAGATTTTGATTACGTCCGCGTAACCTCTAATTTGGGTCGGCTCATCTCGAACCAGCCGGCCATTGCCGATTGGGCCAATGCTTAACATTTAATATTATTATTACTACTATCATCATCAAAAACGATACATACAAAAAATAATAATAATAATAATTAAAAAATAGCATACCGGCCCACATTTGAAAAATGGTCCGGCCCTTCTGGCATTTGCCAGAATTGCCAGATGGCCAGTCCGCCCCTGGTGGCGACAGTGGCGAAGAACAAACTATCTTACGAAAGTGAAGAAAAAAAACCTCAAGAGAAACCAGGTTCAGTTAAGCACGACCATTTCTCCTATGGCCAAACTTGTTGTGCAGAGCTACAGTCTAGACAGCGGAGGCTGGTCAAGGTGTTCGAGACTCTTTTGAACAACTTGATTATTTGGATCTGCTGTGTTTGAATAGGGTTAGAGGAGAACTGTGCAGTTTGATATCTATGCGGAAGTGACGGATGTTTACATCAGGATTGTATCTTCTAAACGCAAATTTTGTCACTGTTTTGTTAGCACAATGGCTTGTAGATGCCCTTAAAACTAGCATACTGATGCGAACATCTAAAAAAAACTCTATTTTAATTTCATGGCACCTTTAAAAGTGCATCACATTGAGTGAAGACTAACGCTAATCCTTTTAGAAGTCTATAAGACGTTATGTAGAGTTTGCATGGATATTTTACTTCTGTAGAGGTTTTGTCTGATGTTGTCTCCACAAGGTCATTAGAAACACAAAAACACTACCGCTGAACGACACCGCGAGGCGCTGATTAACTTATCACGTCTGTGTTGAACGTCATCTTGCTACACGAAGAAGAGGATTCACTGCCTTTACCAACGCGGTTATTATGAGACACTTTTCATCTTTCCATATTGGGTTTTATTTCACATGTATAATATTTACGTTCTTAAATGACGGAACAGTCTGTAATGTTGGTAAGTCCACTTTGAGCGAATGAAATGTGTGTGAGGGAAATGACCAAACAAGTGTGCTAGCTGGATAGCTGCTAGCAAACATCTTGTTGCCATGGAGAAGCAGAGCCGAACTTAAAGCATGCGAGGTTAATCAAAGTAAACATGCAATAATTATTAACCTCACGAGTGTTTAAATAAACTCTTATATTTCAAACTAAACTGTAATATACATACATACATACATACATACATACATACGTGATATATGCATGCCATGAGATCTATGTAAGCGTAAACCTGTTATTATGTTCACTTCAAGTTTATTTGTAAGAAGCTTTTTACAATAATTTTTGTTTCAAAGCAGCTGTACAAAAAGTGCATGTTATTGCATTACAATCAAATTCGAAAAGGTTAAGGTTATTACCATATCTTTATTAACAGTGGTGCATATTATTAACAACCTGCATATTTATTTTTTTCCTGTGGGGATAAAAAAAAATCAGTTCTGTAAATCCTGTCCAATTAAATCACGCATAAAAAAATCTTGAAGAATAATAATGAACTACCTCAAGACATGGGTGATCTATAATTTCAGCAAACTGTTTGGAAGAATTAAGGGGGTCCAAGAAGATGTTTAAAATATTTACTTGCATTGACCCAGAGACTGTTTAGATGCATGTCACTGATGAGATGATGACGGATGTTTACTGTATGCAGTGGTGGAAAGAGTACTGAAAATGCCCTACTTAAGTAAAAGTAAAGTACCATTACTCACCCAAAAATGTAGTGCAAGTAGAGTAAAAGAATCTGTGGTAAATATTACTCAAAGTAGGAGTAAAAATTTGACATTTCAAAAGTACTCAAGAGTAGTGAGTATTACACTGTGAAAAGCTGATGCGCACACAACGTCATCAGACTTTAATATTAGGTTAGATTTAGGTTGTGATGTCAGGTGACCAAAATTCAATGTCTAGCCAGCGTCTAAGGACAACAATATTTTGATGTTGAATAACGATGTCAAATGATGTTGATATTTGGTTGATTTTAGGTTGACTGTTGGACATTGACATTGGCCTGATGTTGGGTTCTGACGGCAACCTGGTTTTCATTTCCAAACAAAATGCAACGCCCCCACAACGTTGGAGTACAATGTCAATCTGATATCATGTTAACATCTTGTGCCTGCTGGGTGTTTAAGGCCATTTTGGTCATCATACAATAATCATCCGTCATCTTCTCATTAGTGACATGCATCTAAACAGTCTCTGGGTCATTGCGTGTAAAGATTTTGGACATCTTTTTGGACACTTTTAATGCTTCCAAACAGTTTGCTGCGATTATAAAGCTGATGTCTTATGGTAGTTCATCATGATTCGCCTTCTGTGTGTGATTTAATTGGACGGGAATCACAGGACTGATTTTTCTAATCCTCATAGACAGAAACAAATAAAGTAGTGACTGCAGTTTGAGGGAAAGTAGTAGAGCAAAAGTACCACTACATCACTAAAAATGTACTCAAGGGAAAGTAAAAGTACACATTTTTAAAACTACTTAGTACATAACAATTTCTGAAAGAAATCACTCAGTAACAGTAATTTGAGTGTTTGTAATTTGTTACTTTACACCACTGACTGTATGATGACTAAAATGGCCTTAAACCCCCAGCAGGCACAAGACATCAACATTACGCCAGATTGACGTTGTACCCCAACTTTGTGGGGACGTTGCATTTTGTTTGGAAATGAAAATCTGGTTGACGTCAGAACTCAATGTCAGGCCAACCTAAAATCAACGTCTAATTATGTTACAGCATGACATTTTGTGGATGTTACCACTATGATGTCAAAATGATGTTGGTTTAAAATGTTGGCTCAACATTGGATTGTGGTCACTTTCTAATACAACATAATATCAACCAAATATTAATGTAATTTTACGTCGTTATTGGACATTAAAATAACGTTGTCTTTAGATGCTCACTAGACCTTGAATTTTAGTCATCTGACATCACAACCTAAATCTAACCTAATATTAACGTCTTAGGATGTTGTGTTCCTGCTGGGCAATGACTAAATGCACTACAGAATGTTACGTTTACACACACCCACAAATTACATGTGAATGCATCAGCTTTTCACAGTGTAATACTCACTACTCTTGAGTAGGGTTGCATTGTTTACCGGTACTATGGTAGTATCATGATACTATGGGAATAAAATACTGGCGGTGCCACTGTAGTTTGTAAACCAGGCATGTCCAAACTCGGTCCTGGAGGGCCGGTGTTCTGCAAAGTTTAGTTCCAAGCCCAATCAGACACACCTGGACTAGCTAATCAAGTTCTCACTAGGCTTTCTAGAAACATCCTTGCAAGTGTGTTTAGGCAAGTTGGAGCTAAAATCTGCAGGACAGAGTTTGGACACCCCTGTTGTAAACTCTATTATCGTCATTAACGGTTTGTCTACAATAGATAATGTTGCATGTGGAAAAGTCACTAAATGCTCACACGTTTGAGCAACAATAAACCATTTTATTTTAATAATCTGTGGAGCCTTTTAAGGTTGCAAAACTGTTTAGAATTTGCGTCTTTTATGGCAGCCTATTGCACGTTTTCTAATGCTGCAGATCGAACGCACATCTGAATCGGTATTATTTCTGTTCCTGTTAATTTGATTTTGTAGCTTCAACAACCACGACAGTCTCTTTAAAAAAAACGACTCACAAAGTCAAATTTTTAATTACTTTGGATTGTTGCCTGATAAGACTGAAAAAAAAGATGAGAATCCCCAAAAAACACTGAAACAATTTTTGAGCACTTCATACAGC